CACCTGAAGTTCTCTAAATCAAGTTCATATTTGCTTTCATTAATCTCCTTCCTCCAGAGTAATGGTCAGCAGCCTTTTTCTGTAAAAGGTCAGATAGTAAATATTTTAGACTTTGCAACTACTCAGCTGTGCTGTTGTAGCACAAAAGCAGCCTTACACAATAACTTAGGAATGACTGGCTTCATTCCAGTAAATCTTTATTTTTGCAAAGTAAAGTTTGCATTTCATTGGTTTCCACATGTTACAATTATATTTTCACTTTAATTTTTTCTCCGACCATTTATAAAATGTAAAAAGTACTTTTAGCTTATGGGTCATATAAAAACAAGTGGCATTCTGGATTTGGCTTGTTGGCTGATATCTACTCTGCAGCCTGCAGGTTGGGCTTCTTCTCTTCTGTCTTGAATCTTCTTTTTAAAAGGGAAACACAGAGCTTGCTTCAGCAGCACATAAACTGAAAAGGAGCCACAGATCTCAGGCACACAGCTCCAAGCAGTTCCCTTCTTTGAACCAAAATAAGTGTATACATTAACATATTTCAAACAATACATTTTAGTTACTCAACTCTCCCCCTTCAAATTCTGGAAGTGATTTGCAATCTCTGCTGACATTTTGAATTTTATTTTATGTGAGTTAAACTATTTTCTTATTTAATATAGTATAAAAGTTGCATGAACATGTTTTCTTTTATCTCTTCTACAGTACTATTTGAATTTCTTCATGGCCTTGTAGACTGCAATTGCAAGAACATTTTTGTCTTAAAGAGCATTTTTCTAAAAATATTGATGCTTTTATCTTTGCACAAAAAATTTGGTTAGCCAGGCACAGCAGTGCACACATGTAACTGCAAGGATTTCAAATTTGAACCCAGCCTTGGCAGTTTAGCAATTTAGTGAGACCCTGTCTGAAGACAAAAATTTTGAAAGGGCTGGGGATATTGCTTAGCGCAAAGGCTCTGGGCTCAATTCCCAGTACCGGCTAGTGTTTAATTGACTACCATTGTTTGTGAAATATTTGATGTCCATTAAGATACCTCAAATTGTTTGACTCTGATTATTTATGTCCCAACTACAAGAATCTAAAGTTAAGTGATGCAGGTCTAGAATACTGATCTTTTGGGCCATCCTCCAATAATCTTTAATAAAAATGCATAATTTGTCCATTATCTTATAGACTATGAATTACCATATAAATATTCTTGGTTGATTGATTGATTGATTGATTGATTGTAACAGGGATCAAACTCAGGACCTTGTGTTTGCCAGGCAGGTGCACTGAGCCACATACCTGGCCCGATAAATATTCTTTTAAAATTTCTTTCAAATAAGTAAAACAAATTTATAAGATTAAGACCAGAAAATGTTAATATTCTTGTTGAGTCTTATTGTTGCTCTTTAATTTTTGGGAGGGAAACTCCTTATAAGTGCCAGAACAGGAAAGGGAACTCACATATATTGAGCTACTTGTTGGAATTAGTTTAATTCTTACAGCCTTGCAAAGTAGTCATTTTATCCCTTTTACAGGGAATGCTTTAGTAACTTTCCAAAAGTAGCCCAATTTATATAAAATAGAATCCAGAGCTGAACCACAGAATCTTATGTTCACACACACTTCTCTGCCAAGACTCAGATTGGAAAGGATAAGCCTTGGGGCACAATCATCAGTGCAGTAGTAAGTTTCACTTTCCTTAGTTTCAATTAACTGAAGTCTGAAAATCTTAAATAGAAAATTTTAGAAGTAAACAATTTTTAGGCTTTATTTATTTATTTATTTTCCAGTGCTCAGGATCAAACCCAGGGTCTCTCACATGGGAACAATTCGTGTTCTAAAATGACATTCATAGTAGTGGATTAAGTCTTGTACTGCTCTGCTATGTACAGTGCTGGGTCTGAATCATCCTTTTGTCTAGCATATCCACACTTTATACACTACCCTCCCATAAGTCACTTAGCAGCCCTCTTGATAAACAGAGTGATTGTCTTCTACTTGTGTTCAAGTAATCTTTATGTAGCCTAACACCACCTCACAAAGCCTACCTCATTTATTATAAAATTCATTAATGAATTATGAATTAATAATTATGTGTAATCAGATTAATTCATGGTGGATTTCATTATGTAAAGCATTATTTCAAGTCACATCATTGCAAGAAGGTGAATACAGTTAAGATATTTTTATAACGGATATCACCTTCACATAACTATTATTATAAAATTTTGTCACAATTGCTCTAATTTACTGATATTTATTCTTACTGTAGCTGATTTATAAAGTCTCCTTTATTGTAGATATATGTGTATAGAAAAGAAAACATAGTATTTATGGTTTTGGTAACATCCACTGTTTTCAGCATCTACTGGAAATATTGGTAAATGTTTCTTGTAGATAAGAAGGCACTACTATTCTACAAAGATAGATATCTTGCCTACTGCACTCTACTGAAGGCAACTAGATGACATACTTTGTAATAACTGAATCCTTTATTTAAAACAGTTCTATTAATTAAGCATTTATTTCTTACCAATGGAGTAGAAATGTCTTTCCATTCTGCCACTGTATTTCCCTTAGGGAAACAAATTCACTCACGAAATTAGATCACTTTGACAGTATAATTTGTGATGCATTTCTTTGCTGTCTGTTTCACATTTATCCCATTATCTCCAGATATTATTCTTTGATATTTGTTGGGCAGACACCTGGGAGCCCACTGTTCCACAAATGTCAGACAGTGATTTAAATGTTAGGATTCTGAATTTTAACATTTGACTCCACAAAAATATCCTGCCCAAGCAAGAAAGAAAAGTACTTTTCCTTTCCTCAGCTCCTTTCCTACCTCCTCCTATAAATATTGCTATATCCTTCCCCTTGGCACACTTTCCGAATTTTAAACAGAAAATGGCCCAGGTGATAATGACAGAAAATATTTCTTAGTTTTTGTGTTAAAGGTACTTAACTTTTAAATTTTTTATATTCTTAGACGTGTTCTATTAAAAGAAACGTCCATATAGCTACTAAAATTAGTCAAAGTTCCTTTTCTTTTCTTTTTTTTTCACTGAGTTTATTGGTACTTTTTAAAGTATACAGTACAATTACAGTCATCATTGGGATCTTCTACCTTTACATGACAGATCTTGGTTCTCACTTTTTCCCTATACCCCTGCCCTCCCATTACCCAGTTCCTTTTCATCACAAAGTTGATTATCCAACATTTTATCATTCCTGGAATATTACAATCATTTACCAAACATTTTTACTTCAATATATTTTGGTTGTAAATTTTCAAAATAGTGATAATGCTGTGAAACAGGCATGTGAAACAATAGGGAATAGGTGCCATATCACTGAAAGACAAACTAAAAACTAAATGTTATAGTCTAAAAATACAAAGGTTTAAAGGGGCTGAAATGCAGTTCTTAAAATCATTAATAATTTCAACAGGTGACTATGATCACCTCCGCTGAAACTTAGGGTTCTAATGAATAGTATCACTTTGAATAGGAGGAGAGGTAAATTTACCTCTGAATAAATTTGGATGATGTTTTTGTTAGAAATAGATTGGCTACTCAGCCATAAAGAATGCGAAATTAGAGTCATTCAGAGGAAAATGGATACATATTGAGGATATACTCCTAAGTGAAATAAATGTCACACATGTATGAATACCAAATAGTTTCTTTGGTGTGAAAAACTATAACGGAATGTAAGATCCTAATGGTATTACTGACAATGTGAAATAGGAAGAAAAGGGCTAAAGGTATAGGGGAAGTGGAAAGGGTAGGGGAAAGGAAATAAGGGAAAAGAAAAAATAACATGAGAAAATGAAAAAATGGAAATAAAGTGTTTGTAAATAGGGAAGGGAGGAGTGGGTGAACGGAGGGCAGGGGTAAGAGGAAAAAATGAGAACCAAGACCTGTCATGTAAAGGTACAAGATCCCAATGATGAATGTAACTGCATTGTATACCTAAAATGTACCAATAAACTCAATGAGAGAAAAAAATAGATTTGGCTAAAAGCAACAGGGTACTTAAGACATTAGCAGCTTAAACAAATTTAGATGAGTTTACCTCTCTCAAGAAACCAAAGGTAGCTGGCTCCAGGCTAGTTTGGTGATTCTGCAGTCAAATCATCATTCTTTCTTGCTGGAGTTTCTGTCATCCTTGGTGTGATAGGTTCTGGTCTAACGTAGCTTCTCTAGATCCAGCCATCACCTTTGCGTTGTAGTCAGTAGGAAGGAAGAAATGGAACAAAGCCCATACCAGAAGTGATACACCACTTTTCTACCTAAACGTCACTGTTCAAAATTAATGATGATGGGGGCCGGGATTTAGCTCAGCGGTTCGGTGGCCTGCCTTAAAAGCGCAAGGACCAGAGTTCAATCTCCGGTACCAAAACAAAACAAAACAAAAACCTCATGATGATGCATGAGATAATGACAACAGTTCTGGGATGGATGGTGCTGATGGCTGTACAATGAATGTACTTAATGCGCCATACTCCTAAAAATGGTTAAAATTGTGTGATTTATGTTATGCATATTTAACTACAAACTCAATCAGGAGTTTGAGGGCAGGAAATGTAGTATTTTTGTTTGAACCCAACCTGGGGAATTTAGCAAGACTATTTATATCAAAATAAAAAATTTAAAAATGGGCTGAGCATGTAGCTCCTTGTGAAAGGATAGGGTTCAATCCCCAGTTGCACCAATACCAAACCAAACCCAACCAAACCAAAACAAATGAACAAGTGAGATTCCATGGTTGATGAAGAAAAGGCAGGCAAATATTGGGAATGCCTTCCAGTCTTTGAAACATGTGCAATGGCAGAAAATATAAAGAACAACAAAAAAGTATAAACAAAATACACAAAATCATGCATGGCCTATGAAAAATTGTCTTAGGGGATTAATAAGTATGGTTTTACCAGAAGCAAAATAAATACAGTAAGTCAGGCAAAGCTTTGGTGTTGAGTTCATAATACTTACTTTGTTTTATTTATTCAGTGGCATTGCCAAAGCATGGAATCAGGCATATTTTGGGGAAGGTTCTGGCCCCATATTGTTGGATGAAGTACTCTGCACTGGGAATGAACTTTCAATTGAGCAGTGTTCAAAGAGTTCCTGGGGTGAGCATAACTGCGGCCACAGAGAAGATGCTGGGGTGTCTTGTACCCCCCTTGCAGGTGAGGTTTTCACCTCCTTAATACACCAGCCCTTCCCCCAGCACCATTTGGACTTAACACACCTTTCTTTCTCCTCAATTTGCGTAGTATTACCAAATGAGTATTCAAATAAACAGCCTAAATAAAATAAAAAAATCTAGAAGCTATATATTAAACTGTTATCTCATTGCTTCTTGGCCTTTTGGCTTAGATCAAGTGTAAAATGCTATCTCCTTATTTTAGGATGTTTCTGAGGTTTTCAGTTTAAGGCTATACAGTTCTATAATGCTAGGTTGAAAATACGACTGTTGAAATATGTAGTGCGTAGTAATCAAAACCGGTGTGCAATGATAAATTTTAGATATTGTGTGTTATAATCACATTTTTAATTAATTCATCTATCTTTAATTAACTCCTATGGTCAGAATATATTTACAGCTGGTATAATACTATCTTAATGTGACTGCTGATTAAAGCACACGATTAAAGAAAGCAAATTAGCGTTGCTGCATTAATTTTCAGACAATTCCAAATTTCAGCATGATTGTCCATATAGGTCATGTAGTATAAGAAGGGTATGTCTGTATGCAAACTTGCATGTTTAGCGGGAAGAAAAATATGAAAGATAAGTTGTAACAACATTAATCCATTGTTTCTTTGTCAAAGTTAACTTGAAGAAAATTTTTGTCTAACCCTGCTTTAAGAAAAAGCAAAATATCTTCTCAAGGCTACAGAATATTGAATTTACACCTTTTTATAAACATTTACACTGTTGTGTTTACTAGCAGAATAAATCATTATATAAATATATAATTTATGCTAGACTTAAGCAAGAGCTCATTATTTTCTTGAACTGCCATTTTTCCCTCTTTCAAATGATGATAGTCTTGTATTATTGCTCAGATGGTCAGATGTGGTAATATGTGTCATAATGCTTTGCAGATAGTAAAATATTTTATTAATCAATGCCTATTTCTATAAGATCTTTATTTGTTTCAAGAGTATGACCATACTCTTAAAGTCATAAAAGTATAACCTTTATCCAAAGTATTTATGTTTCAGAGGGGTGAGGGAGGGATTGGATTATTTCAGAAATGGCTTTTACATTACTTTTTTAAAAATTAAATTTGTTATTGTGCGTCTATAGAATTCTCTGGAAATTAATTATTCATTGAGTTAATAAGATTCAAATTTTATATCTGTAGTATCAGAAAAAGAACAGGCAAGACATATACCTCAGTTTTTAAAATTCATGAATGACTAAGGAATAATAAATGTGCTGACAGATTGTTCTTTTTCTGACTTCATATTTCAGTATTTTCTTCATTGTAGTTAAAATTTTGAACTATTTTTGAGTTACTGTATTTTCTTGATTTTTAAATGTACATAACCAACATTGCCTAGATTTATGGAAACAAGTTATGGGAAATTTCCTCAGTATTATTTTAATCTAGACAAATCAAAATAGATTCTTTGGAACTTTATCAGAATATATGTAGTGCACAGAATGTATGTATCACAGAATATATGTATATATATATATATATGTATTTATCAGAATATATGGAGGGCACAGAATAGGAATAGAAATATTAGAACAGGTATATGTTGTCCCCAACTTTAGAAACAAGGCAGTGTCCTTAGGCTAGCAGGAGGCCTGAATATGGCAATGCTTCTGGCAAAATTAAAAGGTTGTTTTACCTTTTTTGAGACTTGATTTGCTTAGTCCTCGTGTCTCCTTCTTATTACAGATGGGGCCATCAGACTTGCAGGTGGGAAAGGCAGCCACGAGGGTCGCTTGGAGGTGTATTACCGGGGACAGTGGGGCACTGTCTGTGATGATGGCTGGACTGAGCTCAATACTTACGTGGTTTGTAGACAGCTGGGATTTAAGTAAGATTCATGGAAATGAGGCAGCTAAATGCCAAGTTATACCTTTAAAAATCTTACTGTGTAATTAATCTGTACTTATAATTTATGTAAACTAAAATGCATGTTCTCTGTCATCTGTTTGTCTTTTGTCTATCATCTATCTTCCCACAGACCCACCTAACCTTTTACCTTTATATGGAAGTGCAACAACAAAAAAGAGTGACATCTTCTAAGATGAGGAACAAACCACCAATTGCCATTTATCTCATTTACCTTTCTTACCATCCACACTCATCTTGAATAAATTGGTTAAAGCCAGGGGTGACTTGTAGGTCCTTTCAATCTATTTAAGTAAGACCTTGAATGTTTGATTTCATTCTGAGACATCACCACAATGAGATGTTTTTAGTTTTGACATTACTGGGTCGAAAATTGCAGTTAAGTCCAGTGTCAAATGGTTTGGTATTACATTATTTCCTTTCTCAGAATGGGATAATAGTTATCATTTTTATTTGAGAAAAATAGCCTTCTTGTCATGAAATGACCTTTAGAACTCGCCTTTAACCTCACCCATTCAACAGCTGAGTATCAAACTTTGGGTGATACATTTCGTGTCACATGCATAATGCATTCCAGAGCAAAGTAACTGCAAATAATGCCTTTGAGCTAAATATTTGAATGAAAACTATGAATGCCCATTCTTTTTTGTTTTTCGTATTTCAACAAAATGCTTGAACTCATATTCTTATGCTTGAAAAAGTTGGTGAAATTGTTTCATTTCATCTTGAGATAGAGCTAATTGCTAATATTCACTAAACCTTAAAAATGCACTTTTGCTTAATGTGGGCAAAGCCATGCTTAAACATTTATTAAAGTAATATAAATCAGAGAAAGTTTGGAAAACCAGAAAACTGAAAAACTATCTACAATTTTCCCATTTTTTTATTATCATAACTTGTGTGTTCTATCATAACTTGTCTGTCTTCCTTTCTAGCCTGTGGGGTTTTAGTGAGTACATCCATGTCTTCCCTCTCACTAACCTCAGTACCTAACTTTGCAAACTCAAGTCCTCTTTGCAGTAAAATTGGGTGTATAAGAGTTTTCTACTTGAATTTAAATTTGGTCTTCTTTAACCTCGGGTTCCGCCTTGCCAGAACATTTTATATCAGTTTTAGTAGTGAACATGAAATTTTTATACTCATACTTTTTTTACTTTTATACTGATACATAGTCACAAGTTTTGATGATAAAGTAATGTGCATTAAATGGTCACATTATAATTTATTTAATATTTAGATTAATTTTTAGGTTAAAATTTTTCATTTTCCTAGCTCATTTATAAATAATGATATCATGAAGATATAAAGGTATATTATTGCCCTATATTTTGAGTTTTCCATGGTCAAAGAAGTTATTAAAAGTGACTAGGTCAAAAGATATGATGTAATGTACAAATATTGACATTAAATTAATTAAATGTATTGAAACTTATTTTAACTAATAAAATACATGTCATCTTATATTTAATTAAATCTGTGTTCCACTAACATTTGAACATTATATTTACAGAATTAGAAAAATTCATAAATTGCATTATTTGCTGTTTATTTCACATTTTTCTTTATTAATGAAATCAAGTGGTACTGATATTTTTCTCCATATTGTATTTATTTTGTATCTTAAAGCTATTAAAATTTTCTTTTGTGTATTTAGTACTTAGATTTCCTATTTCTAAAAATGTTCTCAATAATGTGTTAGAAGTTCTAAATGATTGTATTAGTAGATAAAATAGGATGTGCAGCAATTACTTCTAGATTAAAGAGAAATTTTTAAAAGAAGATTTTCTTATGGAAGGGGAAGTAAGATAAACTTTGGGTTTTTTTGTACAAGTGTAATCCCAAATGAAATAACTTCTGGTTGTATGTCATATAGTTGAAATGGAGAGACAGAAGATCATCAGACTGATAAATTTTCTGGAAAAATGGTAAAAGTTGAAAGTGATATTAGTATAGGATTTAGTTTAATTACTTTTTCTAACTATGACTTGACTAGCAAAATAGAAAAAAACTTAAAATGATTAATTAGAAGTTTCATTGTTTTAATTTATTAAATGTTCATTTGATTAAATAAATTTAATAAATGATTGCATAAGAAAATAAACTCATAACAGATATAAAGATCTTTTCCCATTTTTATATAGAAATAATAAAATAGCAAGTAAGGGAATGATTGCCATAACATTTAGGACTGAGTTGAATTTCATACTGTTAGAAATAAAAGACATCTTATAAATCTTCAAGCTCAGTGATTTCTAGAGGTTTGGATTTTATGGTACAAAAGAAAACTTGAGAGGAGGGCAAAAGAAATTACAGACCAGTTCAAAATTTTACAGATTGATTTAGTGAATGGTTTGCTCCTGTGACCAACACCTGAGAAAAACAACTTAGGGTTTATTTTGGCTCATGTTTTCAAAGGTTTCAGTCTATGGTTGGCTGGTCCCATTGCTTTGGGGTTGGGGCCAGGCAGAAACAACATGGAGGATGAATGTGGTAAAGAAAAGCTGTTCACCTCATGCAGCAAGAAGCAGAGGAGTGAAAGTCAGAGGGAAATAATTGGGATAAACTATACCTTCAATGCCATTTCCCAAGTAACCTGTTTCATCCAATTAGGCCCCAACTCCTAATAAGCCCATTCAGCTAATGCACTTATTAAGTGGGATTCACCCACTTAATGAAGTGAGTGCCTTTATAATCCAATCAGATTTCCAGAAATTGTACCTCTGCTTGAACATATGAGCCTTTTGGGGATATTTCAGATCAAACCATAATGCAGATCTTTCCTATTTTATAGCTTATAATTTATTATAATAAATATGTAATAGAATAAAGTTAATGGGAACACAAGTATAATTTGTAAACATTTAAAAAATTAAATATATATCACTGTGAAATGCTAAGAAAATTGTCATTATTCTGAGTTTAATGGATTGAAATCCAAATTTTATTATAGATTGGGAACTGTCCAGCAAATCACTAGAATTTTTTTTTTTTTTTTTTTTTTTTTTTTTTTTTTTTT